TTTATATAATTAAAAACTAACATTTTCAGTTATTTTTAAAATTTTGTTTTTAAGAAGCATTTTTGTTACGATTGTAATGGTTTGTATAAGAAATTTAAATATTAAACTGCTTATTGTAGCATGTCTGGAATCGGCAAGAAAAAGTGCAGCAGATGCCACATATAATACAACGGATGAAGAAAGATTGGGGCGAGGAAAGAGGCAGCATATACCATACCATCGATTCAGCAGTGATGAAGATGAGTCCCATGAAGAGGAAAAACAGAAGAAAATGAGGAGTATGTAGAATATAAACATATTTTATCATATATATTAATTATATACAAGATATTACAATATTATTTTATTATTTCTATAGTGAAAGTTTCTTTTACTCATTTCCATTCAGTTTTTGCTCAGTAAAAATGTTGAAACAACGATAGTTTGAGAGTTACAAGCGATAAAAAAGGACTTTTCATGAACTAAACTGTATCAAACTAATTGGAATAAAATTACATTTTTCATTAAATTAGATAGACTTTAGTTTAATAAAATCGTGGTGAAGTGATACTTACTTATAAAGATATATTGAAGATTAGGAAGTTGCCAAAAAATATAATCCCCTTTAACATTTTCATGAAGGAAAAATCATCCAAATTAATCAAATAATTGATCCTTAAAAAAATACGGTAGTATTGAGATGTCTTCTATATAATTTTTCATTGTGTCTGTAATTACTCAAATTTCAACAACTTAAGTTTATTGTTTTGTATGGTAACATTGAAACAGAATAAGATAAGCAAGAAAAGTGAAATTGATTGTAACAAATGTTGCTATAACTTTTTATTTTTTTCTTCGAAATTTGTTTTGTGTAAAATTTCAATATTATAAATTTCTTCCTCCCTACATTATTAAATCTGATTGGTATTTACTGTGTATTAATTTTATGTAATATTTACCATGACTTTTAAATCAAACTTCTCGATATTTTTTACAGAGAAACAATCATATTCTGCTATTCCTGCTACACCTGAAAATTTTGCCTTGAGCTATGAACGTTCCAATGAAGATACAAATACGAATATATATGATATACATCAAAATGAAATGCGTTCAAAGCACGGTATATGTCATTATCATATATAACAGTGCTCGGATTTAGTTGCAAAGGGTTTTTAATAAAAATAGGCGGAAATAACCCGCGAGATAATATTCATAGACTTTTGAAAAAAAACATTTACAAATAAATGCGCACTACATTGTTTATGGAAAGGAATAAGAAATAATTTCAGGCTATCCGATCTATATCTCATAAAAATTATGCAAAGTATGTTATAGAAAAATTAATGTAATATTACCTAAAATATTTTATTTTTAAACATATTTGATACTTTAAATGTACTTTCATATAACATTTTTTAGGAGAAATTACTTTACGCTATGCCAGTATCAGAAATAGATTTTGAGAACATTACGGCGAAATGGTTCCGTTTCGCTCGGCAACGGAAAAATAGAGAAGACAAAAACCAGGAAAGAGAACAAGACTAAAGACTAAAAATGAGATACAAAAATATTCCATGATATTATTATGTTTTATTAGCCGCATTTCGCAGGCTTTATATACGCTTGACAGAAACTTGAATACGGGTACAAATAGTAAATAAGGTGCCACATAGCGGTAAGTGCATGAACTATAATCCCAATTTATAAGGAGAAAAAAATAACTTGTGTGTTACTAAAGTTACATCGCAAATATATTATAATAAATGAATATCTGTAATAATATATTCTATATGTATTAGTAATATAACATTTGTTATATTGCTAAACGATTACAGTTGTTATATTTATGTTATGTATCACGAGTTATGTGTGTGTTATATTACCTTTTTAAAGAACTATTATGAGTTATATACGTAACGAAGAAATATAACTATGTTCTTCTAAAGTGCTTTCAAGGTTATATAACACTTACATCTCGTCTATATAATCGTGAAACATAACATTGTTCTTTTTATGTGCTCCCTAGGTTATGTAACAGTTACATATTGGTTTGCTGGGTTATTAATAATATTTTTTTAACCTAATATTAGCTCTTTCTCTCACTAATTTAAAATCGATGATCGTGTGCAAAATAAGTGCAGACTAGCAGTTCCGACTGACAACGTGTCGGGTTCGGACGTGTTTTTGCGTGCTGCGTATGTCCTTTGTCTGGACCTTTTTTTAGACTCCCTCCTCTCTTAGAGGAGTTTTGCTTATATTCTACAAACCCATAAGAAACAATGGTGTATGGGCGACTAATGCCCAACCAGCCATAAAAGAAAGAAGAAGAAGAATTAGTCGCCCATACACCATTGTTTCTTATGGGTTTGTAGAATATAAGCAAAACTCCTCTAAGAGAGGAGGGAGTCCAAAAAAAGGTCCAGACAAAGGACATACGCAGCACGCAAAA